TCATATTTCACATTGTGCTAGGCCTTCAAATTGGCTGGTTGTATTAGCTTTGTGTCACTGTGATCAAAATACCCGACAAGGATATCTAAGAGAGGGAAAAGTTTCTTTGGGTTCACAGTTTCAAATGTTCAGTACATGGTTGTCTGACTCCATCACTCAGAATCCAAGATGAGGTAGAACATAATGTTGAAAGGACACAGAGGAAGAAAGCTGCTTAGCTCATGGCAGCCAAGAAGCAGAAGATTGAGGGGCCAGGGACAAAACATAAACCCCCAAGGCACGCTCCCAGTGACCCGTTTTCTTCCAGCCATGCCCCACCTGCCAGCAGTTACCCCCTAGCTCAGTACTCCTTTCAAATTAGTAATCCATCAATAGATTAATCCACTAATTAGTTGACAGTTCACACTCTAATCATTTCACCTCTGAACACTGCTTCATTGCCTAACATGAGCTTTTGGTGGTGGTGGTAGGGAGTCATCTCATATCCAGTTCATAACACTGAAAATATTCAGGTTGATATGTAAATATTTGTGAATTCAGATATATATTCAAACATATACATGTGAGTACGGACCTAGCACATGGTCATGCGGGTGTCATGTAGCATTGTTTTTATAGTCCTGTATATAAGATTGTTTTATAATCTGCACTGAGATCAAGGAGATCAGGAAGAAGTATAGCTGTTTCTAAATTCTCAAATCACTTTGACTATGTGAATCTGGATTCTTACATAAAAATGCTTGTTGGTTTCTGTGAAGATAGGTTTTTTTAAGGCTGGCACATCTAAAGTCATAGTTTATTATTTTCTAGAAACTCTGGGAATATGAGATTCCATAATGTTTATTGCTCTCTATAAGCCAATCAGATTTTGTTTTGTTTTAAGAGATGTACATGTACTCTATTAATATACTGAAGATAGGAAAATATTATATATTGAACATGAGAAGCAAGGACATTTCTTACCTACAGGCACTCAGACAGCTTTCAATGTCTGTCCTACAATGCAGACCCAGAAATGCAAAAACACAGCTGGGTGTGGTGGCGCATGCCTGCAATCTCAGAAACTTGGGAGGCAGAGGCAGGAGAACTGCAGGTTTAAGGTCAGACCCAGCATCTTAGAGATGCCCTATACAACATTGTGAGTCCCTGTCTCAAAAAATAAGAAGGGCTAAGGATATTGCTCAGTGGTTAAGCTCCCCTGGGTTTAATCCCCAGCATCCTCCCCAATAAAAAAATGCAAAAAACCACCTTCTATCTGTCAAAGCACTGTTGTTTCCAGTAGACACAAGACATTTTTTTTTTAGTTCAAAACCACAAACAGGCAAAGAAAAGAGAATAACAAGCATGTTCTCTGTTACTTCTTAGCTCATGGAGAGTAGATTCTTACAGAAACAATCTCCTCCTTCCAACAAATGCCACTAAGTGGGCAGACCATAAAACCAAATCCATTTATTGCTGCTACTAATGGGAAATAATTTATAGCCCAAATACAAAGAACCAGCTTTTATCTACTATCAGAAATTAAAACACAGAATTGAAAATTTTTTTAGTAAAAAAGAAAAAATTCTTTTATTACTTTGAATTTACTATGGGAGCCTAGAAATCATGTAAGTGGATTTAAACAGCTCATGAATTGCATATATGAGGCATCATAGTTTAAATTGGTTCTGGAAGGTGAGTCTATTTGAACATCTCAGTGGGACTTCCAAAATTGTCAAAGTATAATTTAACAACAACAAAAAAAAAGTGCAGGTATCAGGTATTTATTTAACTCAATCAATGAGGGAAAGAGATCGTAAGCCTGGTGCAGAGAAAATTGAAGAGTGAAATACTTACAACTACTGAAAGAACAAATGCTTCAGACTCCCATTTAGGTATAAAGTTGGTTAATGTTGTATATGGCGAGAAAACTTCAATCTTTGGAGTTATCTTTTCTATAGGACTAAAATTATTTGTATCTCCATCAGATAAAATTAATATGCAGTACTAAGAATCATTTGCATTTCTAAAAGTTTATCGGGGAGCCTGGGCAGCATCAATGACAAGCAGTTATTTAGTCATTCAGAAATTACTTAAGGGAGGCCTACTCTGTGCCTCGGAAGATGCCACTGAGTCTGTCTTGTTCTCTACCCTCGTGGGGATGGTCATCACCTGGCCAAGCTGGGTAGACCTTGCTCTAGCCTTCATTACTGCAGGGAGAACTGGGTGCTGTCCACATCCTTCTCCCATATGCTGTAGAAGGATGCCCCAGGTATTTGGCAACCCACATATAGACTGTAGGCAGATCTGGATATGCTTATTCTATATTCTTTTCAAGAGTGTTGGTAGAAGCCAATCAAATAATGTATAATTTTTCCTTAAATATATTTTAAATCTATTAATAAAAATTCATACTCCTTAACATTATTTTCAAATCCAACTATCCTTGTTCTAGATGTTGTCTTTGACGAAGAATAACCTTATTCTGAGAAAAAGGTTTCTTGAAAAGAATTCATTTGCCCTTACTCTCCATTTCACTCACATGCATTTTTGCACTCAAAAAAATTAAAGACACAACGATCACCCTTCTGGATTCTCTTGTTGTTTAATAAGCATTTTGTACTTGGCATCTTTTCTTCCTCTATTGCTCTTGTATTTTATTCATTTCTGAATTTTCTACAAATGTGGATAATGGCTGCTTTGGTTAAACATTGTTTTAAATAAAAATGGGTTTGTGTTTTCTTTCATGAGTCTCAAATAGTGTTTTCTATTTTAGAGGAATTTATCGTATGCCTGCTCTCTGTAATCGAGCAGGCATTGTCCACTTACTGAAGTATATCCTGCCATTAGTGCTTTTGTCCTATAAAGGATAATTGAATGTACTTTATTGAGGTCCTGTAGCAAAGCAAATTTTAATCCAGTTATTTTGGTATTGGTGGAGGACTCGGGTATGTCGGCTCCTATTCTTCTGAACAGCTTGGATCTCTATAAAGTTTGGCATGTTTTATTTTTCTCCACGTTTAAGAAAATGTCTCCGTCCTGTGAAGGTAATCTGATCATAGAGTTTTATTCTACTTCAATTATCTATATAAGTCAAATGGTGATGTGCTCTATCATTGGAATATAAACTGAAAGCATACGTATACAGAAATACTTATGCATCACAGAGATTTCTTTTTTAAAATATTAAAATGTGTCTTGGCCATCTACATACAGATGAATACCTTTTAATTTGGGAAACCTTGATGTTTCATTATTTTTTTAAAGAATGAAATCTGTAGATTCTATAATGAAAAAAAAAAATCAAATAATTATAGAATTAACACATTGGGCAGTTTTTATTTTAGGTTTATTTTAGAAATGTTTTTCATTTGAATTATTTTGTTTATAACAAAGAAGATTCAGCTCCCCACAATGTAAAGAAAATGTACATACTTGCCTTTTCACTGGGAAAGAATGCTTTCTTTTAGGTGGATCAGCAGCCTTCATAGGTGTGCTTTTGAATTTCTGTTCTGCCTTCCTATGTTTACATCCCAAGAGGCACCTTTATAAAATAACATAAGCATAAGAGAATAAATTATTTGTTTTTGAATCCTTGAATTATAACTGAAGTTGGCTACAGTCAAATATTTCCAGACTCTCTTTTTATGGTTTTTGTCAGCAAAGAAAAGGATTGTACAAAAGCAATTAACCCTTCTCTCAAATTTTGCATTTTCAGAGGCAAGGAATAGCTCCACCTCCTATGAAACTGCCTCCTCCTTACAAAGCACCGTCTGTAGACAGTGATGAAAATGAAGAAGAAAATGCATTTACTGACAGTGAGTTCCTTTTTGTTTAATAAATGCAGGATTTATTAAATTATGCTTTAATGACTTCTGTACATTTTTCAGTAAAGGGCAGGGGGGGAAGCTTCAAAAATGTGCATGAATATATGCCAAAAAAGAAAATTTATATTTGAAAGTTTTGTGGCTAATTTCCTAGGCTTTTCTCTTTGACATTGACAGAGAGAATATTGAAGGAAGCATTGTTATACACTATTTTACCTGTGTTCCCTTCCAGTTTTGCTATTTGGTTGTGAATACAGAACTGTTAAAAAGTCCTTTTAACTCAAGTTTGATCAGTAATCTGAGTTGGGCATTGATGCCAGCTCTTGATTATTTACCTTACTCAAAGTAATGTTGATATTGCTAACACAAAATTATTGGTGGCCCACCAAGTCTTATTTAATCCTTTATAACTCATAATTTTTTATACTAATTGCATCAAATATACATTCATACATTATTTAACTGAGACTTTATTTGAAAGAATTTGCATTTCTTTTATGAATGTATAGTATCTGGAGTTAGACCTGATTGCTAATGTATACAGAACTTCTTTGGGAAGTGAAGAAAATGTTTTAAAATTAGACAGTGATGATAGTTGTACAATTTGTGGATATATTAAAAACCACTGACTTGATTGTTTTAAATGGGTGAATTTTATGGTTTGTGAAACACCATAAAATATATGAAAACATTTTTCTAAAATATATGAAAGATTTTTATATAGAAATTAAAAGTTAAAAATTCTGGCTGCAGCAGTTAAGATTGCCCTGTTTTATAAAAAGGATATAATAATGGTTCCTAGTTCATAGGGTTGTGAGGAGGATTGAAATAAAGCAATACAGTCTTTAGCTTGCCACTTAATATTCAAAGAATACTATATTACATCTCTTATTGTTGTTAGTAATAATTATTAAGTTAACTTTATATTTTTCCAAATATAATAGTAAATATATAAATAAATAGAAATAAAATATGAAAAATAATGAAACTGCTAGGCTCAGTGTTACGCGCCTGTAATTCCAGTAGCTTGGAGGCTAAGGCAGGAATCTGGCAAGTTCAAAGCCAGCCTCAGCAGTTTAACAAGGCTCTCAGCAACTTAGCAAAACCCTTCTCAAAATAAAAAATAAAAAGGGCTGGGGATGTGGCTCAGTGACTATGTATCCCTAGGTTCAATCCCTGACACAAAAGTAAATAAATAAATAAATAGATAAATAGATAAATCTATAACTGAGTTAACTTTATAAAAATTTGATCTTTCAGTTTTATAGAACCCGTTTTCATGCATTATTTTCTTCATTTATTCACATCTTAATTGAATACCATTTGTCTTTTAGTGACAGTATTAAGTGAGTCTGCTGTTAAATGGGTAAAACACAGCTAGCTCCCTTTATGTAGTAGAAGCACTAGCCATAAAGGGAGGGCACAAAGGCATGAGGATAAAGTTAGATGTGGACTCTGGTGATGTGATTCTCAACCTGTTTGAAGAGTATATCTGAGCTTGTCCTGACGTTCTCCCTTGTTCTGATAGAGAGGAGAGGTCAGCTGCACAGAGCGGCAATAGATTGTTGACTCTCCATAATTCCTGACTGCTAGAAGTCAGTAACACCTAATTACTGGGAAACCTGACATAAGTGTGCAACTAAGACTGTTCTGATATTGGTTCTACCACGCAGTAGCTGTGTGTTCTTGGACAAGTCATTTAACTTCTTCAAGGCACACACTGGTTATCAATGAGGGAATAAGGGTCTGTCATAGAATAACCTGTCTCATAGGATTGTTGCGAACAGTGAGAAAGCTCAACATAAGAACTGGGTTACCTGGTAAGTGCTCTGGGTAACCAGGTGTGGCCTTTACATATATTATTAACACAGCTGACATTTTGTGAGGACTCTAATTAAACATATAAGAAAACAAATTCAGAAAAATTAAGAAATGGGTCACATATAGCTAACAAATAATGAGAATTGGGGCGTCACAGGCACTGTGACTCCAGAGCCAATATTATCATCTACATTTGCTGTTGCTTAAAACACATTACTATAGCAGAGATAGGTACAAAGTGATGTGGGGTTCTTCTGTGAATGGCACTCTTGGGCCGGGAGAAAAGTTGAGCATCCTCTCCCCCTCCTTACTATGGCACGCTCAGGTATGTGTCACATGCACAGTCACAAATGCATGGCATCCTGAGGCTCAGAAAAGATAGTTCTACACTAAATGCATAAAAAGACTCCTGATGCCTTCTGACTTTAAACTTGTGACATCTCACGTATTCTCCAACAAACCTATTTGGGTTGTATAGGTGACTCTTCTCTTCATTTATTTTGGTCTCTGATGTTTTCCTTCTCAATGTACATTCCCTTCCTGTTTAAATCCATTTGATTTCACTGTTAACCTCTAAAAAAGTTTGAACTGTATTGAGTATTTCTTGGATGGTTCATATTTATAATACAGGCAAGCCTAATGTCTCTGGCCACTGTATATTTCCTTTGGGATGATCTCGTGGGTTTTTCTTAGTTTCTTAACTCTTGCTACATTAATACTCTGCTCTTCTATCCAAAACTGAAAGTAGATCAGGTCACTGTTTTATCAGATTTTTACTGTCCAGTCTAAACATTTCTTTTTATAGTGGTGAAATATGATTATCTAACTTTCCTGAGGTCCTTAACTCTGAAATGAACAGGTTGACTTCAAGGGTTGGGCCCATGAGCCTAACCTTTCTTAGCAAGATCACCAACATGAAGCTCACCTCACTTTAAAGGTATTAAAAGGTCATTAATTAAAAAATTCATCCAGTCAAGAAGTGTTTGTCAAGTGGATGTCACAAGGGGGCAAACACTGTTCTAGGGGTTTGGAATGTGGCAGGGAACATGGTCATTCTTTCATTAGCTGATATTCCAGTAGGGGAGGAAGATTATAAATAAGATAGTTTAAATAGTGATAAACATTATGAATAAAATAACTAGATTTAAATAAATAAAATTTAAAATAAAATACAAAAAAGTAAATGCCTCGGATGAGGCAATGTTAAGTAGAATGGTTAAGAAAGGCCAAGATAAGATCTAACTGACAAAGGTCTGGCTCTTACAGTCATCATATAGATCAAGTTTTGTTTTTTTTTTTCCTTTTGGACTCTGACTCATGGTAACTTAAAATTTTACGTGTGAAAAAAACAACTGTGTGAGTTAGATTTCCATCACGTGACAGAATATTTGAGAACATCTGCTTAAAGGAAAATATTTTATTTTGGCTTCAGTTTCAGTCCTCAGTTACTTGTTTGGGGCCTTTGATGACCCAGTACTTCATGGCCAAGGAGATGCTCACCTCTTGGGGGCAGAGAGAGAAGGAGAAGGGGCAGGTCGTCATCCCAATATCCCTTCAGTGGCATGGCCTTCATGACTTTAACTTCCTTCCACTAGGCCCTGGCTCCTAACGGTTCTACCGGTTCCAATAGGACCTTTGGAGGACACAAAACCCCAATTATAACAACTAATGCAGATGCATATATGCAGGAATATGTGTATACATTGAAACAAAAGTTTCATAAATTATTGCTTTTTTATAATATGATGAATTATTCATTTTTTAAAATGCTGGTAGCAATTCAGTTTATTTCATAACTAACAGATAATTGCAAACTATATTATGAAAAACACTAATCTAGATCATTGGTTTTGAGTCTTCTGAGTGCATCGGAAACACCTATAAAGCTTGTTAAAATAGTAATCGAATAAGGCCTACCCCCAATTTCTGATTCCTTAGATCTGTGAGGACCCAATAATTTGCATTCCTAATTTGTTTCCGGTTGGTGCCATTGCTTCTGCTACCCAAGAATCACACTCTGAAAACAATCAGGATGCTAAAGTCATGCTGATGAGTTTATTGAGGATTACTGTGTAGACAGCAAGGATACCTGAACCCAGCACCTACCCTGCAAGTCAGTAGAGGAGCATTCTAGCATAAGAACACTTCTAGATTATGAGATTACATAGTTTGTGAGAAGGAAGTGTTTCAGGAAAGCTTCCATCACTTAATCTCGAGGATCAACCGTGGAGTGTTACTGAGAAATTGAGAAGACTGGAGACGTAAATGTAATCATTGGATTTAGCACTAAGGAATTTATAAGGAAGCAGGGAAAGGTAATACTTGATAAAGTAACCCTAGTAATTACCTTTTAAATTGTTGTGGAAATTAAATGTTCCAGCCACCATACAAAGTGTGGTATGCAGTAGGTGTTTATATTTTAGATCTTTTATTTTGTCTTGTTTAACATGTTTCATGACACAATAATTTCTATATCATAAGAAGTCTTACAATTGTTAGTTGAGCCAAAATTTCATGAATTTGAATTAAGAATTGTGGAACAATTGGGCTGAGTATATAGCTCAGTGGTAGAGCACTGCACCTAGCAGGCACAATGTCTTATGTTCAGTTCCCAGCACTGAATTTGGGGGAGAACAATTATGAAACAATTAAGAATTAAGCATGTACCATGTCAATGCTTAGCAATTGACAAAATTACCATTATCAAAGGTTGCAGGATTTGCCAAAGGTATGTATTGATGTTGCAGAATCTTTTTGCTAACTTCATGGGAATAGCCTTAAATCCAAAGTTAAAAATGATTGTCTTGGCAAGGATTCAGGATCACCAAGGACATGAAGAGATCCTTCACCCTATCTGGTCTCCTACCCAGATTTTCAGTTGGCTCTTGGAAACATTTAAAGTGTTTTTTCCACTAGCCCTTTACATCCTTTCAACAGGATAAGAAATTGTTTTCCCCAAGGCTGGCCTTTTACTTTCTATTCTCAGTTTTAGGTAAAGTCATTACTGAGGTTCTCATCTCGCACCCCAGAATGAATCTTAATAAACTCCATCACTATTTATTCCCTGTCTCTCTCACATTTCTACTTTCCTTTACATGTCTATTGCCAAAATTTTAGTAACTATATGATAACAGTCAAAATTTTCTGAGTATGTACCATATGCCATACAT